CACACACACACACAGGCACAGGGAAGAACACTGTGAGCGGGTTTCACAAAGAGGTGGGCAAAGGGAGGGAGAGGGGAGAACAATCCCCGAAGGCACAGGGCAGTTTACCTTCCCATAAATCCACTGTCTGAAAAATGTCAGTGGTCCTGACACCGTAGATCTCTGCAGCTTTTAGGAACTGGGAGATCTGCTCCATCTGCTTAAAAGCCATCTTGGACTCTGAGATCTTGGCAATGGGCTCTTGTCCAGGTGGGTATAAACTGTTTATCAGCTTGCACAGAACCTGAAGGTGGAAAGGGAGGAACAGCATCCATTTTCCCTTCATATTTACTCGTCACTAATGCAAAGTAAACCCTAACCCCCATCGGACACAGCTGACAGGCAAGTCTTGAGCCCAGGAAGGCATGGGCTCTCGGCTGGGTGGCTAGGCTCCCATGCCAAACCCCAAAGACCTCGGCGGGTCCAGTAGCCCGGGGATCGCCTTCCGTCCTTGCTTCTCCCTTCCTTTTTCTGGGTGAGGATAAGTGTTTACAGAGAGGGAACGGTGGGCAGGGATGAGGCCATGATTCCAGACTTCAATGCAGGGATGCGCTAGTGGTGGTGCCCAGGGTGGTCAAATGATAGAATCTAAGATTATTTCTTCTATCAAAGGGCAGACCCGACTCAGCCTTCAGTAACTCATCCCGTGTGTGCTAATGATGTGTACACCAACGGAATGAACTGGGTACACTGGTCCCAGACACCTATAACCCCAGTGCTGGGCAACCCAACAGGGAGGCATGGGATAGCAGTTATGTAACAACAATCACACCCTGCAGGAAAAAGATCGGCTTGTTTGAATCAGCAGAGCCTGAGGTCCTGGATTCCCCAAAACACAGGAGCATCTAATCAGAAAAGCAGTTGTCTAATAAGGATTCCCTTCAGTTTCCTGAGAACCCCTCCATTCACCAGGCAGACACTGAGCACCCCCAGGGAGCATGGCTCTGGGAAGGCAGGTAGTTAGTCTCCCCCCTTCTCCTTTGTTTTACTATGTAACCAATCCATTCCCCTGGGGAGGGAATGGCTCCAGATGAGCTGATGCACCAAAAAAGCTGGAGCGATCTCAAGGAAACACTTATCTCTAGTCTCGCTGGAAGAGCAAAAGGGCTTGGGCTTTGCCAACGACTCAGAAGGAAGCTGCGCTAGCTGGGGAATTGTGCGGGGCGCCCGGACCTTCCAACCCCGGAGAAATAAGCGCATCTCCGTTCCCCCCCCAGGGGACGCAGAGCTGGCCACAGCAGCTCCTCCCGCAGCCTCACCTGGCCAGAGAAGACCCTGGAGGGTTCCCCTGCCCACCGCGCTCGCCGTCCTTACCGTCCCGTCCATTAACCATTGCTGAAAGTGGGCCCTGCCGGGGGGCGGGTGCTCTATGTCCTCGGCGCACTGCAGGATGATCCAGTCCACCAGCTTGTTCTCCAGGTCGGCGTCATACTTCTGCTCGATCTTCTCCTGCACCTCTCGGCTCAGGCCGTAGCTGGGGCCGCGGTTCGCCATCTCTGCGAGCGCGGCGCGGGCGCGCGGCATCCACACAATAGCGGCGCGAGCTCGGGGTGCGCGGGGCT